TTAAGGCACATTGTGTTTGTTTCATTCCAAATCCATTGTGGTGGTGTATAGAGCCAAAGAGTTAGAATTGTGTCGATGTCCCAATATTTCTGGACCTGACTGTATAATGCTTTTATTATAATCATAATTTTTATTATCATAATTTTTGTAAGTGAAGATCTTCAATCTATTTGTACATAAACAGCTGAGAAAGCATTCCTGCAATTTCTCAGGGGTGGTAATGGCACAAAACTCTCCGTAGTCAGTATTTGAACTCAGTAGTATAAATGAAATATAAATATAAGGCTTCCAGAAAAATCATTCATCCACATTCAAAATAGTTGGCTGTGAGAAAGCATTCGTCAAATAAGAGACAATCAGAATACAGTATTTTTTTAAGGGATCAGAAAATACAGAGACATCCTTGCTTATTCTCTGAGCAAGAAAAAGAGAAAACTATATCAGGCCCTATTGTGGCCAATTTTCTACAGTGTGCTAAGACATGCCCTGTCTGGATTCACGTATGATGCTAAGCCACAACCTATATTTGCCAACCCCAGTCACCAAACATGCTAAGCCAAAACCAGATAACCATGTTATGTCTTAGTTCAGTGTGTGAACCACAGGGGTGAGTTCGTACCTCTGGATGGTGGCAGTTCTCCATGTCTCAGCCAGAGACCTTTTTTCCCCATACTACCTATCATAACCGAGCTATAAAATTTTGGTCTTTTCTATCACTTGTCTTTCTCCAATCAGAAGGCAGTTTTGCCAGAATAGGGGCTAAGGATGTGCACCAAGGAGAGATGGAGACAGAGGAACGAGGATGGAGGTCTCCAGGAGAATTTGGAGAGGTTCTTTTCCCAAAAAGCAGCCCCAGAAGATCGCATGTGAGCAAGTGTGATTCAGAAAGGCAACAGAAAGGCAGCCTTTCTGCAAGGATGATTAAGGACGAAGTGTTTGGGGGAGTCCCTACCGACCCCGAAACAAAACGACATCTATGTAAGGAATGTGGGAAAAGGTTTCGGAAAAAGTGGGATCTCATCAGGCATGAAAGGATCCATACGGGTGAGAAACCGTATCAATGCCCAGAATGTGGGAATAGCTTCAACCGGAACACAACCCTCACGAAACATCTCCTCATTCATTCAGGAGAGAAGCCTCACCAGTGCACGTACTGCGGAAAGAGGTTCACGCGGCGTTCGCATGTTGTGAATCACCAGAGACGCCACTCATGGTAGGTACCCCTCTGCTTCTCTTTGTTGAGTTGTTGGGAGACTCACAGTTCATTAAATTAAAAGGAAAGGAGATCCCCACGTAAGCCAGCTTGCGCTCTTGGGGGAAAAGCAGTACCTAAAACTAAGAAATAAATAATAGATGTGCAAGTTGAAAGGAAATGTGGGCAGGAGGAGCAAGGCCTCATAAATCTGTATTGACACTTGCTGCTTAGGGGGTCATAATAAAGGTTCAGATTGCAGAAGAAAGGAGGTAGGGCGTACTAATTGGGTTGGAGAAAAGACAATTTCATTGGAGCTACAAAGTTCCTGATGGCCTGAAATTGAAATAAATGTCTGATGAAATTGTAGGACAGGTGGGGAATATGGGGCCCTTGAGAATTTCCCAAACTGTGGTTCCAGCACAGCCTAGCTAACATTGCCAATGGTGAGGGATGCTGGTAGTTGAAATCAGCCACATCTGGAGGGCTACAGGATTCCTGCTCCTGTTTTAAGAAGCCAAAAGAGAGATGAGGGCTGTTGTCTGATTAAAGAAGGTGGAGGTAAATTCTTCTATAGTCAGTAAGTCTTACTTGTGTGTCTTTTTGCATGCTTATCCAGAAATCAGCATCATTGAACACAGGGGCTATGATTGTATTAACACACTTATCTGGGTCCTTTTTGGGTACAACATATTAGACAAACCCCAGAAATTCAGCCAATTCAGGTTCAGGAGAGGAACCATTCTAACTCCAAAGTACCCTAAGTCAGTTGTTAGGCAAAATACGTCCCCCCCACTCTGGCCAGAAAGTCAGCAAACACAGACCACCAACTGGGCTAATAGCCCTCCATTGACCAGTTAATCCTCCAAGGAAACAAGATGTGATGAAAAGCAGCTGGAAATACAAGGCAACTCATTATAAAACTTGCTGCTGAAGTCTGGCACTTGTCTTCTTAAAGAAAGGATTGGCTGCTGTGTCTCAGCCACCATATCCACCTCCTGCCTGGTTAGCTAATGGAGAAGGGTCCATTGATGAAGTGAAGCCTTACGAGGTCTTTCTACTTGCAAGGACTCATGGATGCCAAGCAGAACCAGAAAAGGAGGATAGGGATTTCACATTCCCCCCAACAGTGGCATTAGACCCAGTTAGCATGATTGTATGCTACCAGATCCATCTATAAAGTACTTTTATTAGGTTAGTGGCAGTCTGTATTAAATGTATTGTGAAAGCACAGCAAGTGGGTTTTGTTTTTCCTTCTAAAAAGACTTCTGTGTCCTAGTTTCAAGCCCCGGCATCTCTAGTTTAAAAGAATCGGAGAACAAACGAGCTTGCAGAGTTTCTGCTTATCGGACCAGACTGGGTTCTGTGTACTGTACTACAGTAGTAGTTCGGAATGTATATGGGTGAATGATGTGCAAGCAGATTTTTCAGTTTCATTCTAAGGGACTGGATCATTTTTTTTATGAATGTCTTCTTCAATCCTCTTCTAAAAGTTGAAGGCTGTTCAATTTCAGCCTAAATTATGGCCCAATTGAAAGAGGGCAGGTCTTGATTTTCTTCTTATTCTGATCATCTGTCCTCTACTTTGCTTGCAGCCAAGGAAGATCTTGACAAAAGTGTCTACAGCTTCTGGTTTGTGCAACAGATTGAGAATGGGGAAGCCCTGTGTGAAGGGGAAAAAGGTAGCTCTGTTTGTGTCCTGCAAGGCTTGGAATCCAGACAAAGTTGTAGGTGTGGTATGGATTAGTGACTATTTGCTGTTTGTTCACATCTTGAATATGATCAAAATGTGTCTGAGGACACACAGCTCTCAGGGGCATCCACTCTGTTAGGGGTGCAGAAGGAAATCTGTACATACTTATGCCATTCAGTGAAGATAATAAAACTAAGAGACCATCCAAGTCAGAAGAGTATTCATCCACATTGTACTTGATCCAGAATGGGAGTGAGGAGATTGAATTCCTGTTTATTTTGTATTATTTGGACTGCTTGCTGGATAGAAGTTAATATTTCATCATGGCAGTGATACAGTCCTGAGTACAGACAAGTGGATGCTCCTGGGAAAATTGCTAATTTTGATCAGGCGATTCAGTATTTTTGTATCAGCTGAAGCCCTGTGAAATCAGAAAAATCCTTTCCCTGCTTTGCTGTATCCATGCCTGAAGCAAATGATGCTCATTAAGGAAGTAGGACTTGAAGGGCAAAACATCTTCCAGTAAGGAAGCAGGCTGGCAAAATGATACCTGCCAACTGTCTTGGGAGGCAGTCCACAGATTTAACCTGTGAAGTGATGGAGCTCAGTGGAAACGGAATACTAACCATTAACTCAGGATAAAAGAAATGCCAGGTTTTAAGCTGGAGGCAAGACTGAAAATTGACCAAGAAGCACTGACCTGGTGTGCTCTTAAATGCAAATTTATACCCGGAATGTATTCCCATCGTGGAGACTTCAATCCTTTTGCACCTCAACCTGCTCAGACGCAGGTATAGTGATAGTTGAACATTTGGCAATGCAATTTGGGGAGCAAAGGCCAGATGGGAAAACAGGAAGCAAAGTGGTCTCGTTGTAGGTTGTGCTTGCTGTGATGGATTTTATATTGCTCTGTGGCAAGTCCTTGGCAGTGATCACGCTTTTACTGCAGAGTTAGGGAAGCTGTGCCCCCCCCCCATGGCTGCTGAACAACAGCTTCCAGCATTCCTCACAACTGGCCATGCTGGAATAATGTGAAGTGAAACTGACTTGGCTATTTAATGTTTCATTTTTAATTCTGTACAGTGGAAAACCAGTGCAGCATTTGTTTACATAATAATTTATTTCCCTTTTTTCCAAACAGTCTAAAAATTGCTTATAGGCTTTTGACTACAGAATTCATAAATTAATTTTCACTGAGACAGACACCTGTTTTAATAAATTGTCAACTAATCATTTTGGCTTTTCAAGCCTCTCATAATCCTGTTCTAGCAAAAGTACATATATTTTGCATGAGAGGAAACATTTGACTTTTCTTCAAAGCTGGAACTTTTTTCAAAACAGTGCACAACAGATTAAATCTGGAGTAATTTCAAATCTGATGGCTTGATCATGTGGCCATTATGTGGGGAATATTTATTTTCTAGGAATGGTCTTTTATATAGTCTTCAGTTTTTATGGCTGCCTTTTTTTAGCATATATGAGATAACAACTGCTACCTTTATAATACAGACTTTCAAGTTTATTTATTTTATACACCATCATAATCAACAAAGACTCCTGTCAGTTAACTTCATTAAAAACATAATTCTACCTTGATTGTTCATCTGATGGATTTTTAATCCCATTCATGAATTTACTTAGAGGCTTTAAGCAAGCTACTATCCACTCAGTCCTCTCATTTGCAATACAGTATTTGGTTAATGCCAACCCAAAAATGAGTTGTAAGAATTACTGAAAGTGTATGTTAAGTGCTTTGCGTAAATGAGAAAAAGGCCATATAAAATTGGAAACATATTATCTCAGGAATTTTATCTCTTTCTCTGCATTACAAAATGTCTTTTTACAATCCATTTAAGCATTCAACATGCTATAGATATAGTATAAAACAATAGCTGTATTGTTTACAAACTCATCTTAAGTTTATTGACTCTTTATCTTTTTTGTTTCCAACTGAGAAATTGCACCACAGTAGTACACACTGAAACATCAATCTTATGTACTTTGCAGCCAGAAATTTCAGAAATGGAAACTGGAACCAGTTCTGCTTACCTAAGTTAATAATGATTCTGTGCATTTCCAAAGCACGATTCCTATCTATCAATCCATAAATATCCAGCATGATTTTGTTCTTTCAATTTCTTCCACTTATGAAATTTTTTGTTACATGATTCTGGGGTGGGAGATATGAGCAGAGAACCCAGCCCTCCTGACTCTGTTTTCTAGACTTTTGGACATCAGAATAAGAGAAGCTGAACCATACACCATGCAGAGATCCTCTGATCCCCTTTCACTCTCAGCAAGGAAATAGGTCTTGGTCACTTTTTAAAAAGTCTCTTCATTCACAGTTGCAATTCATCAGCCCAGTGTTTCTGCAGCATAAAAGCAATTAAATTGGGTGAAGACATAAGTGGAGCAGAAATAATATATATAGGAAGAAATCAAGTACAGAAGGTATCAGCTTGCCTAGACTATAACCAAAATTATTAACTAATGGTCAAGAGGGGAAAAAAAGTTGATCCAGAGGAGAAAAGATTAATGCAGAATTCAAAGTTTCAATTAAAACAGGATATAAAGCTGTTGGTTGAACATAATTCAGGAAATAATAATTTCAAGATAAAATACACAAATCTAGGAATAACAGCAAGAGCTTTACCTGAGAGGAGGTGGGATCAGCCTCTAAGTTATCATAGCAACCTTTATGGTGACGAATCAGATCTCCCCAAAGAATAAGATTCTTGCAGCTGAGGAAAACGGGGGGAAAAGGAACTAATAATTGGAAACAGAATAGGGACAGAATACCAACATCCACATCCCTCCACATTCCCCCAATGCACAGGAGAAATTGCTTACCCTGGGCACTGCCCTTCAATGGGCAAAATATGATTAGGTTCTTTTTCCAAGAAAATACGAGACAGGCAAATAATATGAGCAGCCATGGTACAAGTTGGGTGAAAACAATGCAAAGGAATGTCATCATCCCCATCCTGCAGAGAGGATTTTTAGAAAGAGTGCACTTCAATCAAGAGGAACCTGCTGCTCCCAAAACACATACAGAATTAACTCCCACCGTGTTTTGATCCTATTAGTCCAACTCTTCCCCACCCCTCTCAGTTGCAACTATTCCTTCAGATTCAAATCCAACTCCTGCCTTAGAGTATCTCAGAAGCTCAGCTCCTGTTTTGTCAGACAAAGCAAATTTTTTTCTTAGGAACCCTGGTTCCCTGGCCACCCAACTTCTAGCCTTTTTCCTTGTTGAAAGAACACAGCATCCCAGATTGTTACCTGGAACGTCTTCAGACAGACACTACAATGTTTTGTGGTAGCCACCTGTCCCTCTGGAGATAATGGTTTAGCGTGCTTGGTGTCTTTGACAGCTCGAACTGGCCCAAAGGCTATTGGCATGTGTAAGGGGGGTTCCAAGCCTGGGGGAAAATCTCGGCAATACTCCTGCTTGAGCCATCGTATGGTGAGGGGCAGACGGCACCATGGAGCAGTTTGCAACATGTGGGCTAAGACACGCAAGCGGAAGTCAAACTGACGCTCCCGTGTTGTGCGGCGGGTGACGTGGGTGAGACGGCGGGAAGAGTGAGGGTGCTGCCAGGCCCACTCAAACTGGAAATTAACGAGAGAGGGAGGGTAAATCAAAGGGAATTGTTGAAACTTAGGAAGGAATGAACAGAACTGAAGGGAAGATCTGCACATATACCCTTATGGTTTAACTATGGCTTATTCAATTACCCAACTGGCTGGGTTCACACAACACACTGAAACCCAAACTAGCTACACTGGTTAGGTTTGATCAACACACAGAATCTCAAGCCAGCTAACCACATTTTAGCTTGCCATATTCTGTGAACCCTGAGAAAGAGAAAATATAATTTTGTTTATTTATCATATTTATATAGCCACCCATCTCACACAAAGTGACTCTGGGCAGCAGAGTATGACAAGTAACCACTGAGAAGTGCCTTACCCGCAAAGCAGCCACATCAGAGGGGAAACCATGAACAATCAACACCATGTCCCTGCAAGGAGAGAGAAATGCCTGAAGCCCAAAAGGACAGCTACACATTTGTCTCAGAAAGCTCCATTTTCAGCCTCCAAGGAGCTCCTCTGAACTTTTGGCCTCAGTCAGAACTAATCAGAAAAGAGAAAAACCAGACAGTGAAAAAGAGGTTTCCTGTAGAGCTTCCCAAGTTCAGTTCCCCATATCTCCCCTTTGGGGCTGGGAAGGAGCTATACAAACTTCAGAAAAGTGGAACCAACAGCATATTTGAGAGCAGTGTTTCTCAATTTTGGCAACTTGACGTGTGGACTTCAACTCCCAGAATTCCCCAGCCAGCCATGCTGGCTGGGGAACTCTGGGAATTGAAGTCCACACGTCAAATTGCCAAGGTTGAGAAACACTGTTTTAGAGTATGGCGTCTTTTACACCCTCGTGAATTACCATGGCCCACGTCCGCTTGTCTTCCAAGCCCCACCACGCCGCTTCCCAGCATTGTGTTGATCTATGCGCCGTTCAGGATTGACCGTGAACCCAATGTAGATCCGACCCTGGTAACGGGGGTTGATGCAGTATAGCAGATAGACCCCAAAGAAGCCACGTACTTCCACCACCATTTCTCCCACCAAGGGATGAACAGGTTCAAGAAATCTACATGAAAGAAGAAATCCAGTATTAGAAAAGTTGTAGACTCTCTGAGGTCAAGTTCACTCCTGGGAATTATATCCAGCCATCATCAGTATCTAACAAACAGGCTTGGTACCTGCCAGGGAATCAGTAACTTACCGTCCAAATGTATTGTCGAAACTTACTGTCCAAATGTTTCTGAACTACAATTCCCAGCATCCCTTACTGTCGGTCATTTGGCTGGGGCTGCTGGGATTGTAGTTCAGCTCTCGGAAGGGCTATTTTCCTTACTTCTCCTCCGAGATATCCTGCTAGGATTTTTACACGCGAGCCACAGATTCGACTCCTCTGTATCTCCATGGCAGGAAGAAGGCATGTAAATTCTTGCCAACCAACGGGGTTCTCCATCAGAATTTATCGTGGCCACACCCGAAATTGAAATCCCTGCATTCCCAAGTGGGGACAAAAATAATACCTGCTGAATTTCTGCCTGCTGGGCAACACAACGCCCCTGAATGCAAACCTAATATTGCATACAGCCTAAGTAGAGCTTTCTACTACTTAGCAGAGACCCCTTTCCCTTCGGATGCGACTTGCGCAACCGCGCCGGTTACTTCGATATTTGCCTTTACGCCCTGCGCCTTTCCAGCCACGGCCGCCCCCATTTCTCGTCGCCACGCCCCTTTCGAACCTAACTTCCCTCGCGACTACAGGAGCCGGTCGACCGTTGCCTAGCAATATTCCTATCCCTTCTACTGACCGTTTCTTCAAATGAAACCTTGCTTACATTCTATTGGCGAAGGTGGCGAGATGTCCCGCCCTCATAAGGACAACCTACACTGTACCAAGACCGGATGACGTAGGAAGAGCTAAATACAGAAATGAGAGCTAGAGATGTGGGTAGAGGTGGCATAAAAAAAGAGTGGCCGAAAGCACTAAACGTATATTTTTAAAAACATTAACCTATTATTCCAAAATATATGGATGTCTTCTGTACCCTATTCGGACTCCACGTGTATAATTTACATAGACTTGTAGTAGAAGGTTAGGACAACTTTTAGGACGGCTGAGCTGCTGTGTCACTCTTTATTTAGTTGCTCAGGGGAACAGAACACCGGAGTGACTTATTACAATTTGATTGGCCAACTAAGATACGGGCTGGAACGGGAAGGATGTGACGTAACTCAGAGGCGGAAATGAGGGAGCGGGTTGTTCTCTTTGATTCGGGTTGGCTTTTTTGGGCGTGATGGAGCCGTCTGGAGCTCTCAGTGCGGAGGCCCTGCGCGAGAGGCTGCTTCAGGGACTTGAGGCCGAGCATGTGGTAAATGGGATAGCTTCCCATTCACTACCCGAAAGCAGGCAGTCCAAAGGGCTAGATTCAATTTAACACCCTTTCTGCTCTAAACTTTGATTTGAAAATCCCTCTTAAGCACTTAGCGACCCTTTGCTGTTCTTTTGCAGTGCTATCTTACGTTGCTTTTTAAAATACACGCCTTAGTCATTTTTCAGATAGATTCCGTTTCAGTTACTGATGTTATGTCTTTGTTGTTTAAAGTTTTGTGTTGTCTGCCTTAAAAATACATTTTCTGTTGAAAAGTGCAAGTATTCCACTGTATGGCTGCAGGATACTCCTCCTCTGACAGGATAAACCAGTTTTCATGACTTGGTGTTTTCTATTCCCCAGCCAACGTAACCTTTAGAGTGCACTAGGTTGGGGAAAGATGGCTTAAAAGTTTTCATATTTGTTCAGAAATAGATGGCATTTTGTTTTGCTCCCAGGAATGTGTACATCCAGTATTGGTCTTATATTAAGTTTAAACTCCAAATCTTGCTCTTTGTTGGGGAACGAGTACGTTTGCTGTTTTAATAGGCTGCCATCATACCAAGTAACTTAAAAATGTCTTCCCAAGTACTCTTTATATGATGCATAAAGTGATAGGAATAACATCATGCTTTCAACACAAGAATGCCAGTAAGGGAAAGAGAAATAACCATAATGGATGCTGAGCAGCCTATAAAACTAGGCCAGATCAAAATGACAGTAGCCTGGTTTGCAGCCTGTTCTAAGCATGTTTACAGAAATAACTTTCACTGAATTCAGTGGGATTTGCTCCTTAAGATATGTTTAAAGGATTCAGTAAGCTACCTTAAATTCAGTGGAAGTTGGAGCTTGCTTTTAAATATGCATATCTTGGATTATGATGTTATGGATTTTTTCCTCTAAATTTTGGTTTCTTTTGAGATTGTTCTTTCTCTTTATTAAGCCTATTTGATGCACATTTTATTTTTTAATAATACTCTGTTAATCTAATGCACTCTTTTCTGAGATCCCTTGCATTTTTTCTCCTTCCCTGCAACCTCTTGGCAATATACTGGTTTCCCATACACTTTTTAACATCTCCTTTCAAACATTCCTTCTCCATTTTCTATCTGGGTATATATAAAATGTGTGCAGGTTATTCAATTTATTGTTACATTCTAAACAGTATATATAAATATTTTCCTTATCTTATGCACCATACAAGGAGGTAGAAGATACTACCCCTGGGCGCTGTGCTACAAGCTTCAAAGTCCTGGTAGTTTCTCCACGTTTTCGAGGGAAAGCACTGTTACAGCGGCACCGGTAAGTAGGCCTAGGAAGAAGTAGCTTAGTCAGTGGGAGATGAACTGGACAGTCTTTTATTTTCTTAATGGTTGGGATTATCCTAACAGTTTTCCAAAAATTTAGAATGTGAAGAAGTGAGGACTACAAAATCAGGTATTCTTTGAACTTTTTATCATGCTTCCCTGCCCCCTTAGGCACCTTCTTTTCTGTCTTTTGCTCTTCTCTTAGTTCCATCTACTCTTAATTTTTAATCCCATCCTTTCCCCGGATTGCTCAAAACAGTGTAGATAGTCCTCACTTCCTCCATTTTATCCTTACAACAATCTTAAGAAGCAGTGATCCTGTGAGGTAATAACTGATCAAGGCTGTCTAGCAAAGTAAATGCACTCATATACACAGGTATGCTCTTTCTTTTGGAGCTTATTTATTAAATATCTTTTTCATATTTTTGTTAGCCTAATTTAGATGTATAGATCCAGAAATCTATTACATCCATAGGGTATATTAAATCGATATTAAAAGAAAGGTTAGCATAACAAAATTGCGATTTCTTTTCCAAACATAGATCATACAATGCTGCCTGTTGATTAAACATGCTATGCTAACTTTATATGCTGCATAAATCTCACGTGATTATGGGAGATCAGCAGTGCATTTTAGTACCTCAGAAATAGTATTCAGACTAATTCACAGCTTCTCTGTGACATTCTTTTTTATTTGAATCCTTCCAAATATTTTAAAACAACAAATCAACAAATCAACTTCATCATTTTCTATCACATTATTGAAAATGTAAGGAAAAAATAGATGAACATCCAAAGAAATGCATAATTACAGTATGGTTGTATGAAGAAAGTGAATTATATATTTGAAACTACAGGTAGTCCCTGTTTAATGACTGCCCTGTTTAGCAACCATTCAGAGTTACAATGGCACTGAAAAAGTAACTTTACAACCAGTCCTCATACTTATGACCATTGCAGTGTCCCTGTGGTCATGTGATCAAAATTCAGGTGCTTCACAACTGGGGGCATTTACGACTGTCACAGCATCCTATGGTCACATGATCGCCATTTGCACACTTCACAGCTGGATTATGACAAGCAGAGTCAATGGAGAAGCTGGCAGTAAATTCGCAAGTCACAGTCATGTGATGTCTCACTTAACCACCATGGCGGAATTGAGGTGATAAGTCCATTGCAATCATGTGATGTCTCACTTAACCGCATTGGTTAGCGACACAGTTGCCAGTCCCAACTGTGATAATTAAGCAAGAACTATAGGTTGTTCTCATTTAATGACCCTAATTTGGACTGGATTTTTTTCCACTAAGCGAAACGTTTGTTAGGCGAAATATCACGTGACTGCACTGCTTAGCGACAGGAGTTCTGGTAGTCCTAGTTGCAGTCGTTAGGCCAGGCTGCACTGTTATTAGGCAAGGACCTCACTCTTCACCCTGCTGTGCTTGTCTCTGCTTCAACTCCCCCTACCTGCCTATCTCCCCCCATCTCTGGCCTTTTGGCTGCCCTGCACTCCGCCACCCCTGCCACCCTGTCCTGTGCCCTGCAGCAGGAGTGCAGGGTGGCAGGGACGGCGCAGTGCAGGGAAGCCAAAAGGGCAGAGATGAGGGGAGATGGGTGGGTGAGGAGTTGAAGCACACCCTGCAATCGTAAATGCGGGCAGTGTCAGGCCTAGCCCAAGGAACTCCAAGAGACAATGCAAATTCAGTTCAGCTATGTTTATTAGCTACAACCTCAAGCAAGAATCTTCCCACACTGAAACCCCAG